CCGCGAGGAAGCGGTGCGGCGGACGGCGGTGGGCGCCCGGCTTGCCGCGGCGGCGCTATGCCTCGTCGCCTTCTCCGTCCTGGCTGCCGATAGAGACAAGGGTTGGGCTCTCGACTCCTACAACCGCTACAAGCAATTCCGGTATGGTTCCGCCCAGGATTTCTCCTTTGATTGCCGGGCTTCTGGTTAAGGCGTAGCAATTTTAGCTTTGATGATCATTTGCCGTGATCGGTCCAGGTATTGCGTCTCCGTGAACGTGATCGGGTTCGTGTACTCAGGATTTCAGGTGTATGCACAGGCCCACTACATGATGACGGAGAAGCACATTATACGTCGTCCCATGGGAGACTACTTGGACTTCGCTATGGATCAGGTATTCGAACTGGGATTATTCTCAATTTAGACAGAAGTTGTTTCGAATATCAAGCTCTTCGTAATGCAGTCGGAAGCATGCCTAGTCGTTCCTGTTTAGTCCCATTTGACTTCTAGGATGGCTTAATGAGCAAATTGTTTTTCGTTCTGTTTTAAGATTATGAACTCTTCATGGCACATAAAATGGATCTTGTTAAGCAATCTTTGTATTAGAGAAAAATAGTTTATTAAGCAATCTTTGTATTAGAGAAAAATAGTTTATGTCAGTTCTGATGCTCTTGGTTCTCTAATTAGAATATTAGTCGCTTGAACATGAGAGATGAGAACATTGAGATGGATCTTTGGAAGGGATAGAACTAGATGAGCATATTTAGTATAAAAAATGTTTGGCATAAAGGATAAAGTGTAGATAATAAGATCAGGAATGCACCATTTATGTTCTTGCCCCCCAAAATGGCACCTGATAGAAAAATTGGTCAATACAAATTACAAGTGCAGGAGAAAGAAAGGAAGACTAAATTGGGTTTTATTACTTGCATTGATAATACAATCACCTTCAACAAATCTCAGTGATAACTAAAACCTGATAGTTAAGTAACTTATTATTGTCTTTTTGAATTGTTTTTTGAAAATGTATATAAGGCGGTGTCTCATCTATAGCTTTCATTTACTAACTTCTAATACAACCTGCTCTTATGATCACAAACCATCGACAATACTTTGGTCAATCATTGAAGGAGAAATGACTAAACAAAGGTATAACAAAACTTTTGCAGCTCTCTAATTTTGTGCTTACTCGTAATCTGACATGGTACAACAGAATAAGAATTTAACCAATTTGAGCACGAAACTTTAAAATAAATAATTACACTAATCTAAGAAAACTTCTGTATCACTGTAATTGATTTGTTTTCTGGTAAACATACTATCATGCTTCTTTTTTTTTGCAAAAGGACTATCGTGTAAATTTGCATTTGCAAATTTTCTTCTTCCTTTTCTTGTGCTGCAGTTGCATGTTCCTAAAATATAATTATTTTTTAGAGTAACTCTGTTCTTCCTAGAATTACGACTTCTGTCAAGTTACAACCTGACCAAAATAGTTGTATTTACAAGAGCAGATTGATAATTGCATGAGTTGTTTCTCTTTTCTGATTATAGATATTGGCTTATCTCTTAATTTCATCGTCATCTTCGGCCACTGCTCGCACTGGAGACTGGGTGTCCAACTGGGGAAGAGATCCCTTTCCCGACATGGCTACTGGTTCTGTAGCTGTATCGTTCCTGGCTTTCCTTGCTTTCGCCCTCAGTGCTCTCATCTCTGCATATTATCTCTTCCGCCCAAGCCTGTAACCTTCTCTGGGGAGCACTAAACTGACGCACAAGTTGTAATGCTACGTAGTTGTGCCTTTCTGCTTAGGATTGTGACAGAGTGAGTGCTAAAAATTGTGTGGCTTGTCCAGAATGACTGATCTCTGTGCTTTTCTGGAGCTCATTTAACTACTTTCATGGACAATCTGAAAGTTAGTCTCTGTATAATATATGATCGACCAGAGCTCAGTTCCTAAAACTGTATCACATATATATGGGCAGATATCTCTGTTAAATGTGTCTAGAAAAGATGAGCGTTGAAGAAATGTCTCATATGGTAATGCCTCTTAAGAAAACATTTTCTCGTATAAAAATGTTTTCGTTTCCTAATTCAAGAAATCTCAGTACTTTAGAAGAATTCAATTAGTTGCACAAATGACGATTTTGGCTTATTTTGTTATTTTGTTTACCTAAAAATCAAACGCCAATTGCTGTGGAGGTGGTTATATTTGATACAATAAATATTACAACTGAAAAATATGCTACATGCGACAGTTTGGCCGAGTGGTCTAAGGCGTCAGATTTAGGCTCTGATCCGAAAGGGCGTGGGTTCAAATCCCACAGCTGTCAATTATTATTAATATATTTTAATCAAACAAGTTTCGTATTTTACATTATAATTTTCTAATTTTTTGGCGTAATATTTATAAACTACATATATGCCAGATTTGCAGTAGTAGCTAACAGATAGGAAACAATTACTATTGTCAATATACTGCAACACATGTTTTTACAGCTCCCTACGTAATCACAATCAACCAGAAATCCTATGATGCCATAAAGGATCCAGTCGACGATGCTTCTTTATTCCACAACAATGTCGAACCCATATCATCGGATGCAAACGCATGTTCTCGCCAAGGCTCGAGAGGTCAAACCATTGCCGGTTCACGACGCACCTGCAGAACGTTCTCCTGCATGCCGCGTGGTGGCAGCACTGCCTTTGCCTTCCTTTGTCCTAGCAGCTGCCATGGTAGGATCAGTGAAGCCGAGCGGATTCTCTACGTCGTCACCTCTGGCGGACTGAGAACGATGTCTATGCTTAGCTTCTGACCGAGAGACACGGCGATTGCAGAGTCGTCCGATCACGTACGCGACGACTGCAAGCACGATGATCGCCGCGAGAACGACGAAGACCGGGCCGAAGGATCCTTTGGAACCGTAATGGGAAGGAGCCTGGG